CAAACTATACTAGAATAACGAAGAATAGCTGTTTTTATAGGCACTTCGCAGTGGCCGCTTGCTCGTTTATAATATAGAAAAGGTTAACATTTGAACAGACTGTTTTAAAATTTAGAAATATGTGATAATAAGTAGCGATAACTAAGCGAAGTGTTTTCGTTTCAGTATTCAGCTTTTACTGCTGTTAATTTACAACGAAATAACAAATGAACATTAATAATAAATTATTGTCTTATTTGAATTTTCGATAACTTTTGAAGACAATAAACTGCTATAACAATGCTGTGAGGCTTTCTATCTTTTGTTTTAGACCGACCTTACCAATAAAGCAATGTCCGGGTCAGGGGATGCTCAAATCGTTACTTATAAAGCAATTAATATTAACCTTCCTTCGGGACAGTACACAATTACTCAACGAAATTCAATACAATTAATTTTCTTTTGCCTTGTAACTGAATAACATTCACTAGTCATTGTTCAATATAATCCGACTTTATTAGATTTTGAAGCAAAAGATATACTACTTTTAATTTGATAGATGTAGACGGGTAGAAAGTACACGTTGGGCAAATTTTATCTTAAATTATTTCTTGCGTTTCAGCAATATAGTAACTAAATTTTTTGGTACGTGATTTTTATGAAAATCATTTTACCCAATCATTGATTGGAAAAATCAATCTAGATACAAAGTAACATTTAATGCAAATTAAATTCTTCCATATAAAATAATTGTAGGTGATTCGAGGGAGGGAAAGTTACAAGGGCAATAACGTTAACAGTCAGCGGAACGTGACGCGGTAATAAGAGCGTACGTGTGGCGGTAACCGATCTGAAACAGCACGGCCACGTGACCAATCATCTGAGAGCAACGCGTCAAACGAGATTGCTTATTTAATAAATTATTACTGTGGGTTTCGACTGTACACTAGTATAAAATACTGCCATCTCTCTCATACACTTTGTAATAATAGAGACAACAAATATGACAATACAAATCTCACGACAATGGACTTTCATGGTTACTATGGTGTACGAAATAAAATACGAGTACCTACCTACAATGTACGAGGTACTTACAATACTCGGTGGTTTAAGCACTTGACTTGTAATCTACAGGTCTTGGGTTCGAATCCCGCCGTACCAATGTGATTTTCGATTTTTCGAATTTTCATACGTACATAATTTACCCGGCGTTCTTACAGTGAAGGAAAACATCGTGACGAAACCTCCACATATCGGCGAAGAAATTCAAAGATACAAGTACGTCTAAAGTGAATCAACCCGCACTTGGCAAGCGTGGTTGACTATGGCTTACTCACCCTTACTTAGGGTAGGCACCGAGCCCCTCGGTGGATACGTATGGTGCTGGTGATGATGATGACACCACATTATGATCCATCGTAACATGGATGTATTCATGTAAAGTGAAAAATAATAAACCGTTTGAGAACACTATAAAATCAATGAGAAAGTCGAATTTAAAAATGAAAAAGTATGTGAATGTCTGTTATTTTTTTGTATATTTATAAGTACTCTGGTAAAAAAAATCATCATCACCTCCCATGCCTTATCCTACTCCCGTAGGGTCGGCGCACCGGGTTTTCGTCCTCCAAAGCACTCTATCATTCGTCAATTCAGTCAACACTCCCTTCTTGATCATGTCACCTTTCACGCAATGCATCCATTTCTTTCTAGGTCTACTTCTACCGATGTACCCCATCACATTCATAAGTATCGTCCGTCTTGTTACATGCGATTCATCCCTTCTCATAACATGCCCATGCCACTCTGATTAAAAAAATATTGCTTGTTTATAGAATCTAGTCTGTTTGGTATAGTTGGAATGAATCAAGTCATTGTTTATTGTCAGTGCTATTGTATTTTAATTTGTAATGTATGAACCTTCAAATTTCCTCCAAAGTTTTAAGATGTCATAACCTCAACAAGAACATGTCAGTAAAGTAAACATCAAAGTATATTAGTTCAAAACTGAGTGCCAACATTGGATCCTGTTTCAATAACTAATTAATGTTAATTTATTTGACATAGAAACTTTGGTTTCACGAACTAAATCGCTTAACGGTGCTCGGGGAAACTTTAACTCTGCCTAATTGTGATAAAGGATAAATACGAGATCTCGCATTTACTAATTACTTTAGTAATACGTTATAACTAAATGAGACTCAATTTGAAAATCACGATATGATATACTTCCTTCGTTTACATTATGCATTTTTCGAATTTATCACTAGCTGGTGCTCGCGACTTCACCCTAGTGTAATAAAAAAAAATATAGCCTATGTTATTAACTGATAAAGTAGCTTTTTAATGGTGAAAGAATTTTTTTAAATCGGTTCAGTAGTTTTTGAGTTATTTCAATACATACAAAAATACAAATCTTTCCTCTTTATAATATTGTATAGATTACGTAGTTTAATAACTAACGTATGCACGTCTCTAGGTTTAATTTTCTGTTTTATTTTTTTCGATATAATGTGAATACGATGTTGTTATAATATATTTTGTTATTTTTTATATTAAATTCGTTTTATCCTAATTTGTATTCGCTGAGAAGTTTCGAAAAGATCCTTTGCATACAGAGCAACCAATTCTGAAATTACTTTATTCAATATACTTCCTTATTTGAAATGAGCTCGAATCCAATTTGTATTTTATTTAAATTATCTCAAAATAGGATATAAAATTATAAGGAAACAAGGTATACTCAGACTCGAAACGAGAGACATTTGCCCTCTTTGCTTGTTTTTAATGTGGTTTTATTAGGCGTAATTGTCTATGTGTTTGTTTCTTCTACAAACTAAGGTAATTAACTCATGACAATTGAATAAGCTCTTGGGGTTCGTACTTAGTAATTACAAGCATTAAGGCAAGTTAAGTTACCTATTTAAGTTAATATTAATCAAATCTGTCAGACGTCATTTTACTACTTCTAGTAAAAGTAGTATTAGTTTCATCTCCATCACTAGCTCTGAATAAAACGTAGTTTGTAGTGTTTTAACATAGTATTAGAAACTTTGTGATATTAAAGTAATTTAAATGTGATATTAGCTTGTAAGTAATATTGTAAATTTTATATATATTTTTTTTTATAAACGTACCCAAAATCTTTGATCATACATGTCAGGGGTACGAGAGGGCGGCATGGGGCCGCCCAATAAAAAAAAAAGCATCACTAGCTCACTATTCCCAATGAGAGGCTCGGTTCTGTATGTTTGTGGTGACTAGATCTTAGTTACCCTCGTTGGCACAGTGAAGTGACAGTCACAAATCTTTTAATGTCTTCTCCTTTTGTCAAGGTTGTATCACCTTTGCGCATAGGGAATTTGATAATTGAGACTTATGAGGCGGCCATCGAACTTAGGCATATAGATTATAACTTTCGTCTGCGACACCGTCCGCATGGTATTGGAAAAACAAAAGTATTACGTCTATGCCAAATTTCATCGAGATCAGCTAAGCCGTTTAGTCTACAAACTATAACAAACATCCATCTTCCCATCCATCTAAACTATTGTATTTATAATATTGGTAAGATAATCCGATCGGCAACTCCATGAAAAACGTATCAGCGTGTAAAATTTGCTATAAATGTTCCCGAGCAACATAACAGGAACCAACTTATGTGTAGATCTTCCTGTTAATTATCTGACACGTGTGAAGTGTAGGTATCAATATCCGGTTACAAACATATCCGGTTCCTTATTCACTAATTGGTTAAATATGGATCCATTCATAGTTCATAGTTCATCGTTCCTTTCTAATTATTAAATAACACATTTTAACCGCCAGGTTCCATCCTCACCACCTGGATGGTTGGCAGTCTTCAACGGTGCGCATCTCACGGAATTTCCTGCCTCACAGCAGAATGTAGAATAGTCTGTCCCCAGTGGTATTTCCAAATTATTACGTATTATGAAGTAAGCCTGTCACTTTGTCTAACGCATCTGAACTTTCTCTTGTATTGCGTATGTTCATGGGCGTCGAGGACATCGGCGTCTCCACCGATTGTTTTCTCGCTTATCTTAATATAACTATTGTATTTTTTTACATAAATAAATTTCCATAAAATATACACAGCCAACTATTCTTGAGGGGAACGAACGTGTAAAGGAATAGTATTTTAAACTTAGATTACAAGAAAAATACAGATTTTCTATTTTAAAATTTTCAAGAATGTACAATGTAACGGGTATAAAATACCTGCTACGTAATACAGAATAACATTGAAATAATGTAAGTACTATAACAATAAGTATTTATATTGAAACATTAACAAATTATTGAAAAAACGAATCCGTGATTCCGACGGCAAACAATTTTGATAGATTGGTAACAAGTTGTAAGTTGAAGCATCTCTGTGGATGTCGACTTTCGGCAAAAGCCTACGTAATAGCCCCCTCGAGTGAACAACTTTCCGCAAAATTAACAAAGTTTAGTCTCTCCCCGAGTAGCGGGATCTGACGCAATGTAAATTGTGATGAAATTTGCAAATAAAACAGGTCTTAAGAAAATGTTTGCGGGGCAAATCCCCCGATGTAAACAAGTAATTATTTTTTTTGCCTCGTAAATGCTTATGTTATTTTTATTGTTGTCTATTTAAAAATAATAACTGTACCACAATAATGTAGCAAAAAAACATATTTTTACTCTTGGTCTGTCACCGGTTGTTATTGTGGACGTAAAAGTTATTGTACATCACATTAGAAATATGTACATTCACTGTTATAATATATTATAGGTAATAATTCGTAGCCTAAGTGTTTTTTCAAACTATGATCAACATTTAATCCAAATTAAATGAACATCTGTTTAGCCGAACTTTTTACACGACTTCGTCATTTTGCCTGGAAAAGGTCTTTTTTATTTACTGTGATTTATCTCTCAAATTTTATTTTATTTTATTTATTATCTCTTACATATAACTCAGTTTCTCATAAATGTTTTTGATTAAATTATAAATTTCATACTTTTTTTTTCAGATTCGCCGTCACCCTGCAAGCAACTCCTAAAATATTAGGTAAGTAAAGTACTATTTTTTTTTACAATAAATTGACTAACGACATACAAATTGGGCTCTGGTTAATCCGTAAGCTTCAAAGCTTTTCAAAACCCAATTTACATTAATTACACACGTTAGAAAAGCATTATAATACACTGAATATTCAATAAAAATATCGAATAAACCGTATATAACAGAGATAGAATGATTTATTACGTTCCGAACCTCGGCTGCTGTCCATTTAGTTAATTGAGAGGAACATGTGGTAATGTATGTTTGATCTAACGGTCATTAGGCAATGTGAACTGGACTGTGTTATAAGCTCACTGTACATAGATATTCTAGTATCGAGATATAGTATTATTATAATGGAAACAGATTCGTTTTATTAAAGGTTAGCTGTTCCAGTGCGTATTCATCCGCATGGAATTATAAAAACGTTATTTTTTTGTTTACAATTAACAAATTCTCAATTTCATATGTCAAAATATCAATAACCTTACTATGGCAATCTTGCTTCCTTATGTTGGCAGCAATTTACGGTCTCTTTCCCACATTAAGGTTTTTATCTAAAATATTTATCCCCTAAGTTTAATAGCAATAAGCATATAGCCCAAAGCGTGTCGTAAGTGTAGGGTTTTTAATTAGAGAAAGCAATTTTCAAAAACATGCTGTAATTGCTGACATCTAAGGCAACAAAGAAGTGTGTGTTTACGCTTTATTATAATAGTATAGACTAACAGCTGCTCACAGCTTTGTCCACGTGAAATTTAAAAACATAGCCTACATATGTTACTCAGTGATAACAAATTTCTAATGGTAAAAGAATTTTTGAAATCGGCCCAGTAGTTTTTGAATTATTTTAGTACATACAAAAATACAAATCTTAACTATTTATAATATTAGTATAGAATTTCGTAGATTAGGTTTAACAATTAAATGTTTAACAAAAATTGGAAACAGAATATGAGGCCTCATTATAAAATAATAATTTCCTTATTACGGTTTCTTACTATTTATTAATTTTGTTTGTATGAAGCAGTTTTATCTTGCAAGAAGAACTGTTAGCCAGATTTAAATAGTGTCATCCGTTTTCTTCAGTGTCTCATAGAAATAATGTCAGATTTTGTAAGAAGTTGGGAATAGACGATTTAAAATTACTAGCTTTCGCCAGCTACCACGACCGCATGTAATTAAAAAAAAAACAAAATTAATCAACATAGGTGTTCCTTCCAGGCTATGTTCTACATCTATGCCATATTTCATTGAGATTCGACCAACAGTTTAGACTACAAACTCTAACAAACATCCATCCATCTAAACTTTCGCATTTATAATATTCGTAAGAAGTATAACAAGAAGCGAGCCTATCATTTTCTCAAAGGCCGGCATCGCATCTGTAGTTCTTCTGGTGTTGCGGATGTCCATGGGCGTCGCTGACCACCTCGGTGTTCTCGCCGCTCGTGTGCCCCCTGTAATTTTATATATAAAAAAACTGTATGTTAGTGTTTACTTTTTAAGTGTGAAAGGACGTTATTTGAATTCCATGTTAGTATGTCGTCCGAGTCGAGAGTTATTTGCCTCTAACTCTATAGTAAATTGGATTTTAGAATTTATGGAGTTAGAGTGGTCTAAAAATGCAGTTACTCTGTTAGATAGTAAACTGTATATGTCGGGAATTCAAATAGTTGAAATTTAAACACAATAAACTTTAGTACAGTTTACGAGTTTCTCGTATTGTGGTTTGCTATCCTTTTTGTAGCTTGTTCAGAAATTGTGTAAGCAGTTTTTGATTTATGATAAAAATCTTCTAAAAATAACTAATTATGGGGTTCCTTCCAGATCATATTTTTATAAATATGTACGGTATAACAACATAAAAACTCATGTTATATTGCGGAAATATGAACTCGATTGAAGAGTCGCGTCAAGGGTTTTTTTTATTTTTAACAACTTCTACAGACTCTTGGTCCGTACTCTTTATTGCACAGTTTGTTTTTCTTTCCTTTTTTATTTTTTTTGTTTCGTAATCCTTATAACACCAGTGAGTTCCCTTTTTTTATTAAATTACAGTTTTTTTTTTCATGAAAACAATTATAGTACTACAAAAATTTCTGATGGTGTGAATGGAATTTGGAGCTCTGTTATATCGAGTTACGGCATATTCTGGAAAAAATATTTGAATACAATATTTGGATTGTAAATTTCTAATTGAAACTAAAAACAGAAATACGAGTATGGGTATTATCAGGATTACTAAAGTAAGGAAAAATGCGGAAACTATTTTAATAAGAACCTTACTAATGCATTAGAAAGAAAATAAGAAAATATATAGACGATATAGATGTCACTAATAATATAAATGCGAATGTTTAGATGAATCGATGGATGGATGTTCTTAGAGCTTACTGCCTAAATGGCTCAACCTATCTTGATAAAATTTGACGTAGGTGTAGAGTAAAGTCTGGAAGAATACATACGCTACTTATATTTGCTTTTTTTAATTCCACTTTAACGGAGTCGCCGGCTAAAGTCGGTAAATAATAAATTAACCAACTAAAACATTGGTAGATAAAACTTTTCCGTTTAAACTGTAAACACCAAATTAAATTGTCTGTTTACGATGGGGACCGATGTGGGGGATGAGTTTATCAAACTTATTTTATTACTCAATCATTTAGTTATTTAGATAGTTGTAACTTTATTGAGGTACATCATTTATTTGTCCTCGAATTTAAGCTATTCTAACTTAATAAGTTTTTTTTATTATGTATTGTACTAGTACATTAATTACATCAACAGTAGTAAAGCCTGCTTTAAAATCTTCGCACGAATAGGTCGGTTCGCCCGGTGCAATACTACGACGACACCGAAGACAGGCGTGAAGTGAGAGCAATTCCGCGTACAGTCTGATGAGTGTGGTGCCGAAGGCCTGATTTTAGTTCCTTTCCACCCTTTTCTTATAAGGAAAGGATGGGAGGGAAAGTTGATTTGACAGTAGAGGAGTCGCGTAAGAAGGGAATATATCATCTTTAAATGCATTTCCCCCAACGTCAATAAGGATAGGCAACGCGTCTGTGATTGTGGATGTCTATGGGCAGAGGTCACTTCGCCATTTTGGAGGATTCAGGTGGTCGCTTGCTCGTTTGCCATGTTATAATTAAAAAAAATCAAAAGCTATTTTACTATGTCCAAAATTCTAGTATAAAGTTTAAAATTAACTAAAACCAAATACATACTATATTATACTTAATGGACGGATGGATGTTTGTAAGAGTATGTATTTGTAGATAAAGCTTAACCACATTTATATTGTAAATTGACTTGAGGTAGCGTCAACTGAAATAGCACATCCTGGTTGCCTCAGAGGTTAAACCCGAAATACCTTTATTCCATAATTCATGAACATTAGCCCACGTGAAAGTAACGTAAGACGCTCAAATAAATAACCTCAATGTAATATAGAGCGAAGATGGCCGCCGACTGCTCTAACGTTGTTACTGATGATTTCTAGAAATCAAATTAGGAATAGTAAGCTTTGTCAAAATTATTAAAAAAATAGTGATCGAGTTTTAGAATTTTCCGACTTGTATAAATAATGTTTTAGTTAATGTAAGGCGGTAAATACACTTTTTTAATAATGTAGAGTAGTATCGGTTTTATTTTCTACATTTAAATTAAACACATTCATAATGAACAAAGCTTTTGAGCTGAATTTAAAAAAGCAGACATGCCTCATGTCATCCGGGGATAGTGTAGTTTACCAATAATGAAAGAATTGTTATAACCGGTTCAGTAGTGAGCCTATTCGATGCGACCAAACAAACAGAAAATCAAAACTTACCCCTTTGTTAAATTAATTTGTTTGAGATAATTATTTAAGTTAAGTAAAATAGATAACTTGTTTTGATAATACAGTATTTTGTTAATACATTTTTAATAAAGTACACTAAAGATCCCGTTCAGTTTCTGCACAATGTTTGGGAGCATCTGAAAATTTAATTGTATAACTTCTCAGCTTTATGCAGTTTCGTGTTTAATAGAATACCCTGCAAAGTAAACTCTCTTGTGGAACATTAAATTAAGTAATATTTAAGGAGAAATGTTGGCAACTAAGATTCCAGTTCTTTTAATTATCATAGTTATTTACTTTTTACTACTGCACGTGAGGGGCACCTCCGAACTGTCGCCAAGTTACCCTCCGAGACAGGCTGAACACCAGCTCCGCTTGACTTCATGAGGTCCATACCAAGCCTGCAGACCATTGTTGTCGATTTTTTTTTACCCAGTTCCTAAGTAACTGTTTTCTCACTTTTTGTGACAACGACAAAAATCTTTTCATTTATTTATTTAGTAGTTTTCGCCCGCGTTTACGTCCGCATGGAATTTAAAGAAAAACAAAATCGAGTAGCTTATGTGTTCTTCCAGAATATCCTATACATCTATGTCAAATTTCATGGTGATGCGTTCTATGCGTCTAAACTTTCGCTTTTATAACATTAGTATGATTAAAATAAAATCATACTGATATTATAAATTCGAAAGTTAAGATGGGTGGATGGATGATTGTTAGAGTTTGTAGCCTAAACGGCTGAACGGATTTCGATGAAATATGGTACAGATGTAGACGATACTTTGGAAGAATAATCACTTTTATTTTTTTTTAATTCCACGCGGAGGGAGTCGCGGGCGAAAGCTAGTTGTTTATAAATTTCAGTTTACCTATCAAAGAAAACCTTTTATTATGTTCTATAATTATAAAATCTAGTAAACAATTTGTAGGATCTGTGTAATAAATGGAGCAATCGATTGCTGACCGCAGTATGATAGATAATGTCTACTTATTTCATCTAAAATAATTACATGCTCGACTCGACGCTAATTTATCGCCTAGTATAAATTTACATACGATATTAACATAAATTATTCCAACGTTCATTTTCATAATTAATTACATTAAAACATTAGTCGATGCTCTATTGTTTTCAATGTAAAAAAGTAACAAAAACTGCAAAACC